AGTAAAGCAGCAGCTGGTGAAACTAAAGCAGCAGCTGGTGGAGCTAAAGCAGTAGCTGGTGGCAGTAAAGAAGCAGCTGGTGAAACTAAAGAAGCAGCTGGTGGAACTAAAGCAGTAGCTGGTGGCAGTAAAGCAGCAGCTGGTACAAGTAAAGCAGCAGCTGGTGGAACTAAAGCAGCAGCTGGTGGAACACCAGGGGTAGCTGGTAAAGCTCCAGCAGTAGCTGGTGAAACAGCAGCAGCAGCTGGTGAAACAGCAGGGGCAGCTGGTAAAGCTCCAGCAGTAGCTGGTGAAACAGCAGCAGCAGCTGGTGAAGCAGCAGCAGCAGCTGGTAAAACAGCAGCAGCAGCTGGTGAAACAGCAGCAGCAGCTGGTGAGCCAGCAGCAGCAGCTGGTAAAACACCAGCAGCAGCTGGTGAAACAGGAGAAACAGCTGCAGGAGGAGAAGCAGGCACCTCCACGACCACTTCGGCAGCCAGTCCCTTGCTGGGGACGCCGTCTACTAGCCTCTCTGCTATGCTGCAACACCCGTTCGTGCGTTTGCCGGAGGCAGTACTGGATGCGTCGCCGAGTCCGATTTCGGTTGACTTGCGGCATGCACTGATGGTTCCTTTTGGCACGCGGCGCAGCGTGCCACTGCTACANCGATTTCGGTTGACTTGCGGCATGCACTGATGGTTCCTTTTGGCACGCGGCGCAGCGTGCCACTGCTACAGAGGGCCCATGCGCTGCTGTCGCAGGATGTTTTGGTCGATGATCAGCTGAAGGAGTTGGCGTACGTTGCAGAGGATATGGTAGCGCACTTGGTACGCTTTGAAGGGCAAGATCTCTCGCAACACCCGACATACCGTGCGGTTGTGCGGCTGGGGATTCGTTTCCTCCTGTTGGATGCTGTTGTGTGCACCTTATTACTTCTCAAACAGACACCAGATGAAAACGAGTGGAGGCCCATAGCAGATGCTATTAGCCACGCCCTGCCTGACCCTTGCATAATGCCAAACTTCACAGAACGGACGCATTTCTCCTTGTCTCTGGGTCAGGAGCTCAGCAATGCAATACAAATACTCAAGACGGGAAAACGGCCGGATCCTACCAGACTCCTGAGGATCAAACGCATGATGTTCTGCTTCACGTGGTCTCCTGCGCGTTTCAGGCACAAAGAATTTGATGCCTGGAGGCGGCAATGCAAAGGCGGCACTTGATGGGCCTTAGTTTCCCTCAGCAGAAAAGCGGATTTCACTTAAAATATAGCTGAAGCAGGGGGAAATGAGAAAAAAAAACACAAATTAAATTTTAAGCAGGACAAATGTGCTTTGTGCTGTGCCCGCTTGCATTCATCAGCCACCNAAAACACAAATTAAATTTTAAGCAGGACAAATGTGCTTTGTGCTGTGCCCGCTTGCATTCATCAGCCACCATGAACTATTACAGCGACGACGACTGATATGTACGAGATATCGGGTCCATCTATCGGCAATTCCAGGCAAACTATTGCACAATATTAAACAACAGATGTTGAATTAAAAAAATGAATTTTTCCCAGCTGGAGGTCTTCGACTCCAATATGAGCGGCGTGATAATGGCGCAGGTAACTGATATGAAGTAAACAAAACTTGATATGGTGAGAGAGGCAAGGAAGCTTCGACTGCCTTTTGTTTTATTGGATTGAGATGCATGGGTATCTGATTGGGCCAGGCTGAAGGCGTCTCGGGATTTGAAGGCATTGACTGCAGGTTTTAGCCCAGGTGCGACAACACCATGGCATGCTGCTTGTGCATCCATCTCGGCGTTTACACGCTTTTTTTTGACTAGACATTATGAGTTTTGCGAAGTGTTTGGGCTCGCCCGTGACGCGCGATCCAGTGGGAAAGGCTTCGCTGTGTAGATAAC